AGACTATTTTTTTAAGTAGGCATTTGCCACCAAACCAGTCACTTCCCTTTTTCTGTGAATGCTATCTTTTATCATCTCTCTTTCTACCTGATCATTCTTATCAGCATATAAGCTTGTCTTCCGACTCTTTCCCACAGTGCTATTGAAATGGCAATCTCCGTGCAAAGCCAGTGGTCTCTTCTGGCTTGCTTACTCTCCCAACACTCTCTCTCTCTCTCTCTCTCTCTCTCTCTCTCTCTCTCTCTCTCTCTCACACACACACACACACACACACACACACACACACCCCTTGAAGCATTTCCCTTTGTTTTCTGACACCTACACTCTTTGTTCTCCTATCTGACTGGTTGTTCTTTCTTGGCTGTTCTGGCTTCACATCCTCTGTTCAATGTACAAATAAAAATGTGTCAAGGTCCTGAGTGCCCTTCTCTAGCAACACGTTATGATTTCATCTAGTCCTGTGCTTGGAAGCCCAATTGTGTGCAGATAAACTCCCAAAAAAGTTTTTGTATGTGTCCATGTAGGGGTGTATGTACTTAGGTGTGGATGCCATAAATCTGCATTGAATACCTTCCTCTGTCCCTCTTATGTTTTGAGACAGGGTCTCTCGATGAACCTGGAGTCCATCAATTTGGCAAGGCTAGATGACCAGCCAGTGAGCTCTAGGAATCCTGTTGTCTCACACCTCCCTCCCCCAGCACTGGGATGTCAGACACTTTCCACCCTGCTAGGCTTTTCTATGGGTGCTAGTGGTCCCAGCTCATGTCCTCTTGCTTGGATGGCTGTGCTTTCCCAACTGAACCTTCTTTTCCATATTTGTTTATCTACAGATCATGTACCTCCCCTTACCATTTTCAGTTCCCCTAAATAACTGCCTCCTTCTCATTTCCATATGAATGTCTAACTGGCATCTCAAGTTTAACCACCCCTTTCAAAATCTTGACTTCCTCCCTCAAACCTGTGTGTCTCTCAGTCTTGTCTGTTATAGCTATGTCATTGATATTCATTCAGTTACTCGAGGTAAACTTCTGGTTTTTTATTATTTTTTTTTTTTGAGGCGAGGTTTCTCTGTATATCCCTAACTGTCCTGGAACTCATCCTGTAGACCAGGCTGGCCTTGAACTCACAGAGATCTGCCTGCCTCTGCCTCCCAAGTGCTGGGATCAAAGACTTATACCACTACCACCCAACTAGTTAAAATTCTTGGAGGTCTTCCTGATTCCATCACCTTTGTCTACAGTCTTTCAGCAAATCTCTTTGTGATATCAAAACGAGACTTTAAAACACATTTACACCTTTTCCTCCTTCCTGTGATCCTATTCCAAGGACCCATCCTCCACTATAGGAGGCCCCAGTTAATGTCTGTTTCCACCCATTATTGCCCAAGCTTGGTCCATGACTGAGAAGCAACCTCTAATTCTGAGACGACTGTTCTGTACCTTGTGACCAATACGTCTAGACTAAGGGAGCTGGCACGAAAGGGTTTCCCTTCCAAACTGAAAAGCTGGTGACCCTCTTTTAACAATAGTGAAACTGCCGGGCTGTTACTTGCTGTACCTTGAGCACAGTCCATATGCCAAACATAGTTGTCTTCTAAGAGAACTATCTAGAATATTTGTGACTACTGACCTTTGTTAGTAGCTTCCTACAAAGTCCTTCAAAGCAATGGCAAATCTAGGTTAGAAACAGTTGGATGTGAAAGCACAGATTAAAGAGGATCTTGGTCTGTAGCCTGTTAACTGAACCGGCCAAGAGCCGCGTGAGTCGGAGCCTTGCTGTGGGATCTAAATGACCCATTTCCTTTGTGCACTTAAGTGCCAACCAACACAAGTGGAGAAAGAGAAAACAACTTTATTATGAGAAAAGACTGAGGCTCTAAGTAGCAAGTAGATAGCAAGTAGGTGGCATCTCGTATCTTCTTCCTCAAGTGCGATTTTGAATGGCCTGAAAATGATGTTTTATCCATGGAGAGGATTCCAGGGTGGGTGAGAATGGGATGAAAACAATACTTCAATTTTAACTCTTAGTGTTGCTATGAGTGTTCAAAATATATAAATGTATGATTGGTGGACACGGGATAAATCCAATTGGAGGTCATTAGACAGTATGACTTTAAACATGAATCTTGTTGCACATCTGTTCACATTTGGAAAAAAATGAATTGAAATATTTAACACAAAGCAATTTAAGGACACTCTAGGTGAGCTATTTCACACTGACGAGGCATCTAATAAATTATTGAATCATGTGTCCTTCAAATATCAAGCCTGGCCAACAACATGCTGCTGCTGCTGCTGCTGCTGCTGCTGCTGCTGTTGCTGCTGCTGCTGCTGCTGCTGCTGTTGCTGCTGCTGCTTAACCCTATGGCAATCCCCAGACTTCAAACTTCTTTTCAGCCAGGAATGGGATGCAACCAAGTGTGTTCTCTAGAAGACAGATTAAGGGTGGGACTTTGGCGTTCTTCCACTAAGAACCTACTACACTGTTCCTGAAGAAACCCTGCTATTGGTATTTGGCAGCAATAGACGTGAATTGCTGACTGAATATTCCCTGTTTTTCTTGAATGGAAGCCCTTGCTGTTGGTTCACGCTGCAGATTGGATGTGTTTCCCTGCAGTCTTACTTACATTGTTTATATATATGAAGAAAAGCATGCGCATAAAAAATACCTTAATGAGGCTGAAGTGGCAGCTCATGGTTAAGAGCTGTGTTCTTGCAAAAGAACTATGTTCAGTTCCCAGCACCCACATGGGGTAGGGGCTCACAACCATCTGTAACTGCAGTTTCTGGGAGACCTGACGCTGTCCTCTGGTCGTCGCTGGCACACACGTGATGCACAAACAGACATGTATTCAAAACACCCAGACACATAAAAAAAAGTATAGGAAGCCGGGCAGTGATGGTGCATCTCTTTAATCCTGATACTCAGGAGGCAGAGGCAGGAGGATCTCTATGAGTTCGAGGCCAGCCTGGTCTACAAAGTGAGTTCCAGGACAGTCAGAGCTATTACACAGAGAAACCCTGTCTCAAAAAACAACAAAAATTATAAGAAAGTGTTCAACTCAATGAGTTTTCAGAGAATACATACACATAAGGAGCACCCATAACAAGAATTAAAATGTTACCAACATGCCAGACATAGCGGCACAGGCCTGTAGCCCAGGACTCAGGAAGCAGAGACAGGCAGACCCATGAGTTTGAGGCCAGCCTCATCTACAGAGCAAGTTCCAGACCAGCCACGGCTACACAGAAAAACCCTGTCTTGGAAAAAACAGAATCAAATACCATCCTCTCCAAAGGTACCTGTTATCCTGTCTCTAACAGGATGATTTTACTAGTTTTTCTCTCTTTCATAAATAGAATCACACACTGCACGCTCTTTTGTCTATGACTCTTTTGTTCAGAATATTTTGCTTGTTTTTGTTTTTTCAAGACAAGGTTTCTCTGTAGCTTTGGAGTCTGTCCTGGAACTAGCTCTTGTAGACAAGGCTGGCCTTGAACTCACAGAGATCCACCTGTCTCTGCCTCCCAAGTGCTCGGATTAAAGGTGTGCGCCACCACCACCCAACAATTTAAAAAAAAAAATACAGTCTTGTAATGTAGCCCTGGCTGACCTGGAACTCACTATGTCGACCATAGTATATAACAAGCGGACTTCAACAGAGATCCACTAGTTTCTGCCTCCCAAGTGCTGGGAGTCAAGGCATATTCTGTATACGCAAATATTCAGCACAATTTTGGTATCCATCATTGGAGTCGTTTAGAATCATTCATCCTCATTTCTGAACTCTATTCCATGGGATCAGCATGTATTATATACTCATGTACTACTGACGAACACCCAAGGAAGTTCTCAGTTTTAGGTTGTTACAAATAATGCCTAAACATTACAGAGCACGTATGTTAGATTTTTACTAAGAGGAGAACTGGTGACACACAGGGAAGCAGGTGTTCTCTGTCATGCAACCAAAGTGTCTCCGGGTGGTTGCATCAACACGTGTGAGTTCTGTTATCCCATATTTCCCACAACCCTTGGCACTTCCTATCTTTTTTATGTTAGCAAGATATTTGCTCTTTAGCTTGAATTGCCAGAAGTCATAGCTGGGTCTGAAGGAAGAGTGCCGTGGTCCGAATATGGGTTATCCCTATAGCGTTCATGCCGAAATTTAATTACCCCTGTGTCAACGATAGAAGGAAGAACCTCTAAGAAGTGTTAGGTCGTTAAGCAAGATGAGCATCTTTGGAGGATGGCTTGATTCTTGTGGGACTGGATTAATTAGCTCGAGAGAGCTGGTGACTATAAAACTGCACTCACGTTTTGTTTCCTTTGCATGGACCAATTTGTCACTTGCCTTCCAGTGTCTGTCTCATGGTAAAGCAGCAGAAGCCACCAGTGGCGTTGTACTTTTGAACTTTCCAACATCTGGAGTCATGAGCCATGAGCCAGAAACTTTATAAAACAACTAGACTTGGGAATTTTATTCTAGCAACATAAGATGGACTAAAACAAGGGGCCTGTGTTTTATGTGTAAGTACTGGACTCCCAACGTATGTAGGAGCTGATGAGACATTGGGGCTAACCCCTTTGAGGATGTGTGCGTACGAAGCAGGTGTGCATGAATTTGGAGACGCAAAGAGCAGCAGCAGGTACGTGCTGATACTTCACTAGGTAGTAGCATAGTTTGCATTTTTAAACCCCCTTGTGTCCTAGCATCTCAGCAAGAGAAGCAAAACACATTAAATACTGTCCCATCTTTTCTCTCCAGCTAAAGAGCCATGTGATGCAGTTCTAGGCACAGTACACAGAACTTAAGAAATCTGCTTTTCTGATGAGAAACAATGGCTGCTACCACTCTTTCTCTTCACAGATGGGGATGGAATAGAAATCACCTTGCACCCATGAAGAATTGTGGTAAACCTCGGAAAACTGGCCCAGTGCTGCAGTACAAAGCTTAAACAAGACACATATCTAGTATGAACTGAATTTCCCAATCTCAGACATTGGAGACTCAAACCACAATTTATATAGAGCAGACAATAATTTTGTAACCAGGAAAATAGTATTTAGAAAAATTCACAAGTGTTATGGGCTCCTAAGCTTGAAGATTTGATGGAGATGTCAAGATAGGATAGTTAGAAGCACGCAGGAAGGGATGCAGCAAATGGCAAAGATGCAGATTTTCAAATGAAAGTTTCCCAGTCTGGTCATCTCTCTTTTGGTCCTCTTCTCCAGGGAGTTTTTCATCAGAGACCTCTGCTCGGGGACATCTGCTCAGAGACCTCTGCTCGGGGACATCCATTCAGGGAACATCTTGGAAGAGGGGGTGGAAAGAGTGTAAGAGCCAGAGGGTGGAGAGGTGATGTGGGATTCCCCACTGTAGGCTGTAAATACCATTGGTTAATAGAGAAGCTTCTTTGGGTCTATTGCAGCACAGAATAGGATAAGGTGGGGATTCCAATCAGATAGGGGAGGAAAGAGTAGGCAGAGTCAGAGAGAAGCCATGTAGCTGCGTAGTTGCTGAGGAGAAGGATGACCACACCGGTACCAGTAAACCACGAACCTCATGGTAAAATATAAATAACAGGAATGGGTTAATTTAAGATTAAGAGCTAGTCAATAAGAAGCATGAGCTAATATAAGCCAATCAGTATTATAATAATACAATTTCTGTGTGATTATTTCAGGTCAGGGCAGTCAGGAAATGAACACGCAGTCTCCACCAACAGAGAGGGGCTTCTGAAATGTTCTCTTCTGAACATGACATGGCCAGTGCACACATGACCTCGCTGTAGTTAGGTGACCTTCTCAAGATCCAGCTAACAAGATCAGTCAGCATCCAGCAGGGCACTAAATGGACCTAACGAGTTAACAAAAGAGAGAGATAAAGATCTGATTGGGGAGTGTAAAAGTTGAGGGTAGTTCTTTGGGCTTTGGGGGTGGGGGAAGCAAATGCAGAATAAAGAGGATTAAATAATAGTAAGGACACCTGAAAAAATCATAAGAAATCATACTGTTAGCTATCTAAAAAAAACTAGAATAAATATAATTCTGTGTGTATATACATATACATATGTATTATACATGTATATATTAAACTACAGCTACATAGCATATATGTGTAAATATATACATAAATAGTTTAAATAAAAAAGAGTGTGTGTGTGTGTGTGTGTGTGTGTGTGTGTGTGTGTGTAGTTAGTTTAAATAAAATTTCCTTATCTGGGCTAACAATGCTCCCTCCAAGAGCCAAAGACCACCTAGCAAAATCCCCAGTACCAGGCAAGAGAAGCTCTTTGAGCTGTTTTTCAGGGTTCTTCAAGAGATTTCTAAAGTATACAGCCTATTGCTACTGTCCTCATTTGCCCCCCAGAAGGAAGTCTGCATTGCTAAAGACACCATGTACTTCGGACACAAGGCCCAGAGGCCCCTGAGCTGGGAATGACCTGAATGCCGCCTCTCTCCGGACTAGGAACCAACAGTCCTATCCAGCTGTGGCAGTTATGAGCCATAATGGTCAGCATGGCATAATAACCAAAGAGTGTAGTAGTGGCATACATACCTTGGCAGTAGCCAACAGCTCTCTTTAATAGGATTGAAGACATGTTCGACAAAAGGAAAACCATGCCTGGTACTGGAAACCCAGACAACTTCTCAGAGTTAGTGAAGTCATAGATCTTGGAAGAGAATCTACAGTCATTACTTTGTTTACTAAATCAGTACAATCTCTAACTACATTCTAAACATTTGTCCTTATACAGTTAGTGTAGTCCTCACACCACATTAAGAAAATGGCTCCTGCAACATAGACCATTACAAAAAACAAAAAAACACAACAAATCAGAGTGCAGGGTTGTGGAGCCTCACCCCAGTAAATCCCTCTACAAAACACTCCCATCCTTAAGGCTCTGTGAACATTGTGGGAGAGGGGGCAGAAAGGTTAAAAGAACTGGAGGATTCAGGAGTTTGCTATGAGACTGTGAAGTCAGAAGCTACACCCATAAAGACTCACCAATATGACTGTCTAAACAGGAGCTGAACAAGGACAACAGCAGACATGCTAATGTGGACAGGAAAAAGACCACAGGGCCTCAATCCTACAGAAAAAAAACTGCAGGCTGCTAAGAAATGCTGATATTGAAAGATTCTCTGAGGACAGGTACACCAATTGGTCATCCAATACCAAATAGTCAGTGTAACATGCGTATAAGTTTCAAATCCTAGGCAAATGGCCAAGCTGTCTATTTAACATATCAAAGAAGACATGGCTTCCACGTTCTCCCAGCAACTCTGAGTTCCTACCTGTTACAAGGTATGGCTGGCAAACCCTGCCCTCTGCCTGAACTCTCCAGCCCAGGGCTTGGGCTCTATATAATCCAGACATTTTGGTTACCTGCCTCTTTTGTGCCTTTGTCCTCTTGACTGCTGCACCTGATTTCCCTCTCTTCCCTCTCCCACCCTCACTGCTGTCCTCACAGGACTCAGGGCCATGTCCACTGGACTCCCCCAGATGTCTCTGCCCCTGACTATGTTCTTCCACATGTCTATATAAACTTTCTCCTCCATCGTCTTAGTTAGGGTTTCTATTGCTGTGAAGAGACACCAAGACGACAGCAACTCTTATAAAGGAGACAATTAGTTGTGGTGGCTCACTTCCAGCTCAGAGGTTCAGTCCATTATCATCATGGCAGGGAGCATGGCAGTATGCGGGCAGAGGTGGTGGTGGGGCAGAGACTGCTACATCTTGCAGGCAACAGGAAGTCAACTGATTCACTGGGTGGTATTCTGAGCATAGGAAAACTCAAATCCTGCCCCCCACAGTGACACACTTCCTCCAATAAGGTCATACTCACGCCAACAAAGCCACACCTAATAGCTTTGAGCTTATGGGAGTCAAATACATTCAAACTACCACAATCACCATACCTGGGAGCAGTCACGTTCTTTCCTTTCCTTTTTATTTCTTTTTTTATTCACATATGAGAAACATTATTGAGACTGATCAGGTTATATTTAGGAATATAGATACATAAATTTATATGTACACATATATGTATATGCATATCTATATGTGTAACTTTTTTTTAAAAAAAAATGCCATGAATTTGAAACAAAACAAGAAGAGATTTTTGGGAAAGTCTGGAGGAAGAAAAGAGAAGAGAGAAATGACGTAATTATAATCTCCAAAACTAAAAGAGAGAAAGAAAAAGAGGAGGGAGAAGTGGATGGAGGAATTTGGGGCTGGCTTTGACCAAGATACATTGTTCACAGATAGAAAATTTTCAGAGGGGGCTGACGGATGCTTCAGCAGTTAGAGTGTATACTACTCCAGAAGACTACAGTTCGGTCCTTAGCACCCAGGACAGGTGGTTCACAAATGCCTGTAACCCCTGTTCCAGGGGGAACTCAGCACTCTGGCTTCTCAGGTACCTGATTCATGGGCATATATGCCCACACTCACATACACACTGTGATGGTTTGAAACCAATGGTCCCCAAAGGGAATGGCACTAGTAGGATGTGTGGCTCTGTTGGAGTGGGTGTGGCCTTGTTAGAGGAAGTGTGTCACTGTGGAAACGGGCTTGGAGGTCTCATATATGCTCAAGATACCACCTAATATGTTAGTCCATTTTCTGTTGCCTGTATATCAATATATAACAACTCCTTCTCCAGCACCATGTCTGCCGGCACGTTGCCATGCTCCCTGCCATAATGATAATGGACTGAACTCTGAAACTGTAAGCTGCCACCTCAATGAAATGTTTTCCTTTATAAGAGTAGCCGTGGTCATGGTGTTTCTTCACAGCAATAGAAACCCTAACTAAGACAGACACTAATAATAAATAAAATAATGTTAAAAGGAGTACATTTCTGCCAACGGAGTCCATAATATTCATTCTGGGCTTTCGAATGGTAAGCTAAGTGTTAGGAATATTTCCTAACGCAAGCTCTCTGCCGATGCAAAATTCCAATCAAGCCAAATCAAAACAAGCCAAATTAAGAGATATCCAGGTTTAAAGGGAGTTCTGCACTCTTGGGTGACCCCAAGGGGCCACAAATGCGACCACCAGGAGGAAGTAAAAGAGACCACATGTTCCTCTTTTGGGACATCACTTAAATATTCTGTGGGAGTGGTCCTGAGGGCCCCCCCAGGGAGGGGTCAGGACCTGGCCTGCTGGGATTTGGAGTCCAGAGTGCCAACTCTTAGGGTCAGGGGGCTAGGATAGATGCAAGGAGCTGGGGCCTAAGCTCCCAACTTAACAATAAGAAATGTATGGTTTTTTTCTGTGTGTGTGAATTTATTACATTAGCCATAGGAAATTAATACGACTAGGGTTACCTTATACTAGAAATGCCAGAACACTTTAGCATCTAAAATATTTCACCACATTAGTAGATTTAAAGCAGAAAAGCCACTCTGAAAATGCAAAGTATTTATAAAATTGAATTTCAATAAAATTTTTTTAAAAACTGGGAATAAAAAGATTTCTTCAGTTTGATAGAGGTATCAGAAAGCAATAGCATAGTTACCATAAATCCAACAGTTGCCTGTAAGAGGCAGAAGGTTGTTGGGAAGGGACATACTGGAGGCTCCTAGGATGCTGGTAGAAAACCTGTTTCTTGACCCTCATGGGAGATTAATAACTGTTTCACAAGAATTATCTCTCATGTACTCTCCTTTAACTGCGATGTTCCTTCACTGCAAAAACCATTAACCTCTCAGCACTGGGAACGGAAACCAGAACCGTCAGTGCAAACTCTCTACCACCAATGTGCATCTCCAGCCTTTTTGGGGAGCTACGACAGGGTCTCACTATACAGCTCAGGCTGGTCTTGAACTCTGTGACCTTGTGCTAAGACCTTCCTCCTATAATCTAGCAACTGCTGTGATTACAGACCTACGTCACCAAGCTTAGGAAATGAGACTTGGGAAACAGACAGCGCAAAGCGGTGTTTTATGAGGCAAACTGCTGTCACCAGGAAAGCCGAGCTTTCAGAGCTGGCTTGAAGAGCCCTGTGACTAATCATTAACCAACAGCAGAGGGACGCTGAAGAGGCTCTGAGCACTCCAGTGATTTCTCTCCCTCAGGCGATCTCTCTCCCTCCCCACCCCTCTCAGAAGAAGGGGGGAAGACACACAGGGCCCTGCTCCCAGACAGAGACAGGCATCAGTCTGGTAAGAGAAGCTGCACAAGAGAAATCACTGAGATGCCGAGAAACAGTAGGGTTTGGGCTGGTGGGACAGAGGCATGGAGGGACGTGTTGGTGTTTTCAGTCAAGAAGTGGATGGGTGAAGGCAAAAGAAACTCCAGAGCTCTGTCTCCCGGACTTGGGTGAGCTTACAGCATCTTACATTCTAAAATTAACACAACAGTTACCAAGTGTCTGTTTCAGAAAGTAATTGACAGTTTTGAAGCTTGCCTGGGTAAGACTTTAATCCTTGGTCTAACGACTACATGTCATCTTCCTGACTGCTGACCATTGACCCAGACCTTGTGGAGTTTCTTTTTTTTGTTGTAATTTGTTTATTTTTATATGCATTGGTGTTTTGTCTGCTTGTGGTGTTTTGCTTGCATGTATGTCTGTCAATCCCCTGACAGTTGTGAACTGCCATGTGGGTGCTGGGAATTGAACCAGGGTCCTCTGGAAGAGCAGTCAGTGCTCTTAACCTCTGAGACACCTACCTCTCCAGCCTCCCCTCCCCACCATGGAGTTTTAATGTCAACCTCTTGAGAAGGTTTTTCAGCATTAATAGTGAAGACACCAGCTAGCATGGGCCAGGAGTGCTGTGAGCTAGCAGTAATGGCGGTAGTATAAGGTGACTTCTGAGTGTCACCTGAATGGACCTGAATGTCACTTCTGAATGGGTCACAAGCTGTGAGACAGCACGAGACTGGGAAAGCAGGATTGGCATGTGGCTCTGTGGTTCTTGCCTAAAAAACATGAAGCCCTGGGCTCAGTGTGCAGCCCCGAGGAAAGAGAAACTATAGGAAAGCAGTCTGCCACGTGTGCCACACCATATACTAGTGACCTGAGGAGCTCACACAATGGCCAGGAAGCCAAGCTCCCATTCAGATTCACATTTGAGGGTTTTAGGGTGACAGAAAGTGGGGGCAGGTCATGAAAGGTGGAGCTCTGGTCACCATTCTAGTTGACACAGAAGACTCTCATACATGCAGGAGTGTTAGAAGAGGCTGGCCCAGAGCTAAGGAGAGCAACGGCTTCATTGCCAGATGGAGCACTTGGCCTCTGGCCTCACTGTTGGTGGCCACTCTTCCCACCAGTACAGAGTGACTCGATGGGACAAGGAGAACCACGTGTGATAACCTTTGCGTGGAAGAAGAAGAGACGCTGTACTCCAACAGCTCCCCATTGCCACTGACAGGGTGCCGGGCCTCCTTAGCCTCCTTACTCCCCAGGGAAAGGTGAGTGTGCTATCTGCCCGTTCAGCAGCCCCATGAAGCAGGACACTCAGACACAACAGGAAGTCAAGTCAAAGCAGGAACTCAGTTTATTACTGTGAGCGTCAGTTTATATAGATTAAGTGACATCATGTGATGTGGGGGTACCTCTAGCCAATGAGAGACAGCCAAGCCCCCCCTTGGCTGGAGGGGTGTCTACCTAGATTTTGCTGTCTCATCCTCAGTAGCTTTGAGGCTCCCTCAAAGTGGAGCCAGGCTTTTCTCTGTCCTACAGGCCCCGAGGTCCAGGCTCTGAGATAATTTTGGCCCGGGAACTCTTGTATGGAATGATGAGTGGCACAAATAATGTATTTTATTTTTTTTAGAAGTTTCGAGAACAAACCACTCAAAAAACAAAACATTACAATTTTTCAATGGTTACAGTTTATTCTCTAAGACTTTGAAACCTCTCCCACAAAGCCGTGCCTTGCCCTACCCAGCAATTGTAAACGAATTGTACTAAGATTCTTACTTGGTCTTTATTAAGTCTTCTCTTTGGGGAACTACTTTAAGATAAACTCCACATCATATCAACATCTTGACTTTGTTCTCCCCATTCTAGAAGCTCCAATGGCTTTCTTGGGTCGTATTCTTCTTTCCCGCAAAAACAGCCACCTCAGACTTGAGTTACCACAGAGCTGTCTTGATATTTCCAAGAAGTCTTCATTCAGTCGTGGAGGTCTTCACCAGCTGAGACCCCATTTGGACTGCATTGTCACCCTTCAGACATTGTGACAGAATACGTGACAGGGACACGTTTATAGGAAGAAAGGTGACTGAACTGTTGACTCACGGTTTCAGAGGGTTGTAGTTTATTGTAGCTGGAACAGGTGGAGAGGCCTTTCTGTGGTAGCGCAACCTTCAGCTATCCACAGGCTGTCAGGACAGGAAGCAGACGGCAGCTAGGACTAGTGGCCAGGCTGTAATCTTCAAATCTGCCGCCTCCAGTGACCTAGTTTCA